TAGGTATAGTTTGAGTAGACGAATGCACATTGTTAATGGATGAATTTGAGTTTATTTTTTAGAGAAAGAGCAGGATACTCGGACCAAGTTATTACGCCTCAGCCTTACAAAAACTTATTATTAGAGAGGACTTTGAAAGACCCTCACATCATCCCCGTTTCTTACCTATAAGCCCATAATTTCTAGACATTGTTCTTTTAAGTTCACTATGGTAAGACTCTAATGGGTTTGTTGAGGTAACCTGCAATAAAAGAGGAGAATTCTGACATGCCCAAAGGGCCCATTTCTCCGTGTTCTTACTATAATTACGTTTAATGTAGCGGGCAACCTCGGAAACAGGACAGCTATTGATAGCATTACAGATCAACTCCTCACAACCAATCTTTGTTTTTTTATGCATGGCAGCAATCAACTGATTACGTGTTGCTGGGTGGTATATCTTGTGTAGCCACGTACGCATTACATGCACCGTACAGAGAATAACGTCGCAGTTTTGTTCACCACACGCGATGCCTGGAAAGGTTGAAAAAATACTGTTCATCTCAACACTGTTCTGATCACAGAGCATATTTCGAGGATGCCAACGAGGTGCAAATTCACGGATTACTCTTAGTGCTCTTGCCACTGTGTTGCTATCTTCTTTACTCACAAAAAAATGTGCACCAACATTCCAACTACCATAATCATCACAAATATACAAAGTAAAAAGGTTCCAAAAATGTTTGTTTGTATTATGAGTAGAATCAATGAGAGTTAACCATCCGTGTTGTTGAAGTTTTTCTAATTGCTGTATAGTTGTAAAACAAAAACCTTGAGATAATTGTAATGTAACATGAAATTGTTGAACTTTATAGTTTTTGGCGATCAAAAACTTTAAAGTTTCTTGAATGTCAAACTCTAAATTGTGTTCCCCAATCAAATTAGCCGTTAATGATTTTCTTTGCTTAAATTGAATATTTGCCACTTCTTTTCGATACAAATTTTGAGTAATAGCATCAAGACCTTTTTCCTTTGCAAGTTCTTTTACAGCAATGACAATAGCTGGTGGTGAATAAGGTTTTTTAGCTTCATTTGCTACTAGCTGTCTAATAATCTCCGGACATTTTAGTTTGTCACTGTCCTCAATTGAATGTGAATGATCTGGTGTATTTTTGAAACGTTCAATTCTAACTGTTTGTGTTGCAAAAATATGTGTGATTTTGATTTTTGCGTTACATAAATTTGTCATTCGTTTACTTGTTTTTCTTCGCTTATCGATTGGAATATTTTCTTTTCGTGTACTTGATTCATAGTGCTTTGTGAAATGACAAGTATAAACAATCCAAGAGTCCTTATTAATGCATTTCCAACTGTTAAATCGAACCCAAACATTGGAAACAAGTGGCCATAACTCTTCAAATTCTTTTACTGAAATTTCAAAAAAATTATTAATATTAAAAATGCTTTCTCGTGTAGTTGTCATTATCTTAATAAACAAATATTATATAATTATGTAATAAATATAATTTATCAATCTAATCTAATAAATCCGATCCAACAATCTGACCCATATAATCATGTGATATTACCTGGCTTTAGCGTACCCCCCTAAAAGGAAGAAAGGACAATCCAGTAAAAAGAAGAATAGCAAAGAAACCAAAGGCAAAGAACCAAACTTACCAACGAGACTCCGGTAGCCAAGCCAGGGACATGGATATCACCGAGGGTTAAGGAGAACCCACAGATGGCGAATCAGATGTCAAGAGCATGGGGCTAGGAAAAGACTGATAAGAAAAGGTTAGAAGCTAATGGTAAAATACCGCAAAATGAAGAAAACACCACAAATGCTGTGACTTACTAGAATTGCACCAAAACGAGAGAATGCGAATGCTGAAATGTCATCATGATCAAGATCATAATCATGATCACAAAGAAAAAATGTTTATCATATGAAGTCTACAAAAGTTAAGCATGCCTAGAATATATATGCATGCATATTGTTAGCATAGAAATTATAGTAGAGGGTATAACACGACATGTGGAGCCCGGTGTGATGCAGTATGAACATCGGTCATGCATCAATTATACATGATTGATGGGCACAAAGCTTGTAAAAGTCTAATAATTCTGCATAACGTGACAATATATTCAGAGACATGTCGCAATCATGTATAAATAGCAATGATATCCAATATAAAAAGAGAGCCGAGAGAGATGCGATCAAATAACAAATTAGAAAAATACCATCTGCTGTAAATCCAATTGTGTGCTAGTGCAACGATAGTTAATAAACTTACCTTATTTGTCTCTAAGTCGTCCTAAAAAAAATCCACAAGCCCTATAGTTTGGCAGCGAAGGATTAGAAGAGGAATCAACCTAGAGAAGAGGAAAATAAGGATAATTATCACCATATGTACCTTTGGTATCGCCAGCGACATAGACCCACTCTTTTAATGTCATACGAGTCTTAATCCGAATTAGCAACAAACTTGCTGTTGAGAACAACAATATATATTCTCAAAGATATTAAAGCAACAAGGAAAGTCTAACGCTTCAACAAGCCCCCATCGTAATAAACGACTGATAAGAGATATACCATTCTGACGATTGGAAATACTGGGACAAGACTGTGAAGAAGGCACTGACACAGAAAGAAAAAAAAAAAACAAGAGTGATTAGAGAAAGAACTAACCATCCAAAAACAAAAAAAACAGATATAACAAACAGAATGCTTATCTCACCTCAAGAAGATGACAGCTCTGATATGAATACTGGGATGCTGTTATAATCATGATCATGATTATGATCCTGATTGCGCCCCCACGAGTAAACGAACACCTATCCAATCAAAAAAAAAAAAATATATTTCCGGTGGAAGCAGCAGTAATGTCAAGATAGCCGGATGGGTAAGGAAAGGTTGGGAAAGTACAAAGACTACAATGGTCAAGATTCTGCTACGGCTTGAATTGTTCAGAAGATGAAATGCCGATAGAAGTTGATATAAATGATGAAGCAGCTGCGATAATGTTATCCAGTTGAAGTATGATCTTGAGAATGGATCAGTCTACAACAATTGCTCTGCTTTTTTATAGTTAAACACCAGAATGTATCATCAACATCAATCACGAACACTACCACCATTACCTTCACAACCATCATGCCGATGTCCATCCTACCACCAATGTAGTTTCATCTAACAGATTTCAATATCCTACCAACAAAGTATGTTCTTCCGAAACTGTGACGACAATGACGACGACGGAAAGTATCACCAACCAATAAAAATGATAAGAAAGAAAGCTTACGGAAAAGCTTACTGCCACTGAACCAACCAATCATCCCTACAAAGCCATATCAAGACCTATAAAGACATGGTTAACATACATCATCAAAACCATTAGTATACACGTACTGATCTTATCCCATCGTAATCAAACCATATCGCACCACCAAGATTCTATAAAGACAAAAGTGAAGTTAATAATTACCTTACCCCTTTTTACTCTTATCTTTTTATAATTTCTTTATTATTCCTTTGATTATCCCTTATACTTTATTAGCATTAGTAACACACATATCATTTTACTTCTTTATTTTTATAATTTGAAAAAAAATATTATTATTTTGCTCTGATAATTTCATAAGACCATTACATAGCCATAGACGACCTTGATTCTTAGGAATCCATAGCATATCTGGTTAAAGGCTGGTTAGTTATGAAGTGCAAAATTATAGTAGGATAATGTTTGAAGCTATAGCATTTTATGAAATTATCAAAGTGATTAATACTATTCTTTCAATTCATTTTGCACAATAATATATTCATTTTATTCACATAAATATTTTTAATTTTATTAAAACTTTATTATTTTATTATCATTATTACTTTTACATTTTTAATAAGAAACATTGAAATCTTGAGGTATCCTTTAGCTACTATATGAAATACAGCATCCAGGCTATACAACATAGACGTAGATACCATGATAGCCCAGTCCTCAACTTGCCCAAATACAAGTATCATTGAAGCCTTGAATGAAAAAAGGAATCTGAAAACTAAGAAGCAAGCAAGAAATACAGTGTAATAAAGAGGGCCCACTAAGCTCTTCTCTTTCATTACAACCGGCCTACAAAACATACTCAGCGACTACTGTATTTCTTGTAATGAATTCATAAAGCTAGATTGAACAGAACAAAACATCAAGGTCAAAAAAGGCAAACCTTTAATTGAATTCAAAGGTGGAAAAGAACCGGTCAAAAGGAGCAGGGGCAGGAGTTTTTAAAAGTTGAAGGAGTCCCTCCAACTGAACCACTCTATTCTTCAAATTGAAGTTTTCTAACTCCAACTCTCTATTGAGACAGTGAAGAGCCTAAGTGTCTGAAAGTTTTTTCAAGTCAGCCTGTAACTTGGTACCCTTTTTTTTCAACTTGATAATCTCTTCTTGCAAGATCTTGACTTTCTCTCCACAATATACCAAATGCTTCAAAATTTTAACTCTTTCTTGAAGCATTACTATGGTCTTCCAGAAAGAATATTTATAACCAGAGCAAGCGAGGCAAGCAACTTTGGACATACGGTTTTCTCTAGGCATGATTATGATAATAACAAATCTGAAGCAAGAAAAAAGAGAAGAAAAATCTGTATTCAAATCAGATTCAATCAATTTAATTTATATAGATCACAACTAATATATAATGATAATCAATTATGGATTATCATTTATTATATTGCAATAGATAAAATGAATTTTGGATAATAAAAAAATTTTTATTGCTAAAGCAAAGTTTGTTTTTTTTGTTAACTTATTT